TATATATATAATGCTTTTCCAACATGGTGAAATTCCATCTTTTTAAAGTTAACTTTCAAAATTTAAAAACAGATCCAAAGTTGTGCAACTGTTTCAGATCTGTAATCTTCATCCAGTTATATAGGGACATAATGGAAACTTACGTGCAGTGAGCTTAACTGTCAAATGGCTATGGTTTATTTTAGGATAGTTCTGATTTTTGAGTATCCTGTTTTAAGTATCCTATTAATTGCACTGTTTTGTGTATCTGGGAATAGAAGCCCAATTGTATAAGCCAAATTGCAAAATTTAAGTTGATAGGCTGTATTTTTTAAGTAAACTAACAACAATTGTTCTACAAGTAAAAATATTGGAGGAAAGCATATATTGTCTTGCCAGATGTATTTTTTTAATATAAATTGTAAATACAGTCTGCATGGAGAGTATTCAAGCCAGCAAATCTGGAACAGCTCATGAAGTGTTGCACATTTTTAATCAGAGCCAAATAAGGAAATATTTTTTTTCTAGTTCTCTGGAGAATTAGTTGTTTTGCCTTCCACCCTACATTTAAATAACACAGAGAATTTGCATCCTATCCTGAAAGGGAGAGTTTGTGAAACTAGGTTTCATCATGTAATAGGTTATGTTTTAAATAAATAACAAATCTGCAGAATTGACATTTAAGTCTGTTTTTGTAAATTAGAGAAATGGAAAAAGTATTTTACAAGAAAAATGCTTCATAATTTCCTTCAATATTTTCATGATTATTTGGGTACAAAAAGACAACCCATTTATTAAAAAGATAAGCCAATGGAGATTCAGCATGAGTGTGTCATCTCTGAGTTTTATTATAAGTCATGTGTAAGCTATGATTATCATCATATTTTTGAACAGAAAGGAAAACCTCAAAATTTCCCTCATAAAATCTTTTATTACTAAACCCAGTGCAAGTGACTGCCTTTGTCGTGTGCCAGTCATGTGTTTGATGAGGTGTCTGATCCTCAGTATGCTCAGCTTTGGTTTTCCTTTCAAAGACAGGAAGTTAGAAGGCATTAATCTGGATTATCTTTCTGCTGTTTATACATTCAGGCTTTCTGCACAGACAGGCTTTGGTGTTCCCTTGCAGATACTGCCGACTTCAGAGAAATTATAGCTGGCACAAGAAAAATGAAATTCTTTTAATTTTTAATGTCAGCTAATTAATGTATAATCAGTGTTTAGTTTGCACAGATATGCACAAGAACATACGTCTCAGACTAGTAAGGTTAAAATACGCATACAACATATGACACAAACCGAAAATGAGACATAAAAAATAATGGCACAGAAACTCAAATTCAGCAAAATATTTATTCTTTGAGTTTAAATACCATATTTATATATGCATAAGTAGCATCTCAGATAATACACATTTCCTTCAGAAGTACTGTGTGTTGAAAATAAATACTTGGATAATTTCTGCCCTCAGGTAAGCTGCACTGCACTGGAATGCACTGCTTTCAGTTCAGAGAGGCAG